CATGATGGTTGGCTGGCCTGTCTTCCCTCCACTTGCTTCAAAATACGAAAAAGTTTAGGCCAAACCTATTTTCCATAAAAACCTAATCCACCACAAAAAAAAATCAATCACCAAAAAAAATCAAAAGCCAACTAAAAAAAAAAAAAAACTAAAAATCCACCAACACCAAAATAAATCCAAAAAAAAAATAAAAATCCAACCCCTCCTGAAGTATTATTTTCCTGCACACTCAGCTATGCCGAGGTATTCGGATGTTGGTTGCCTGTCCTTCCCTCCAATTGCTTGCTAAAAGTACTAACAATTTAGGCCACCCTATTCTCACCTGCTCCACAGCTATAATTCAAGGTATTCAGGATGGTTGGCTGGCCTGCCCTTCCCTCCACTTGCTGCTAAAAGTAAACGAAAAGTTTAGGCCACCCTATTTTCCACCATAGTCCCCACTCCCCTGAGATTATTTCCTGCACATCCACTATAGCCAGGTATCCATGAAGTTGGTTGCCTTTCCTTCCATCCAATTCCTTGCTAAAAGAACGAACAATTATGCCACCCTATTCTTTACAAAACTTCCTCACTCACAAGCCTAAGTCAAGTTATCAGGATGGTTGGCTGGCCTGTCCTTCCCCTCCCGCTAGCTTGCTAAAAGTACGAAAGTTTAGGCCCACCCTATTTTCCATAGTCACTCCTGAGGATTATTTCACTGCACACTCCAGCTATAGCCAAGGTATTCAGGATGGTTGGTTGGCCTGTCCTTCCCTCCAATTGCTTGCTAAAAGTACGAACAATTTAGGCCACCCTATTCTTTCACTGCTCACTCCAGCTATAGTCAAGGTATTCAGGATGGTTGGCTGGCCTGTCCTTCCCTCCACTTGCTTGCTAAAAGTACGAAAAGTTTAGGCCACCCTATTTTCCATAGTCACTCCTGAGGATTATTTCACTGCACACTCCAGCTATAGCCAAGGTATTCAGGATGGTTGGTTGGCCTGTCCTTCCCCCCACTTGCTTGCTAAAAGTACGAACAATTTAGGCCACCCTATTCTTTCACTGCACACTCCAGCTATAGCCAAGGTATTCAGGATGGTTGGTTGGCCTGTCCTTCCCCCCACTTGCTTGCTAAAAGTACGACAAGTTTAGGATCAACCAATTCTCCACAACCAATGTCATCTCCGATGTCTGATACATATGCACCACAGGACGTGAAGTTGTGGAAGACCCACGTGAGGAAGAAGTCAACTGACGATATCCTGGAGGAGGAGGTCCCTCCTGCCAAACCTTCATCTCCCACCAAGTGAGAACTATAATACTTGCATTTGTGAAGAATTCGTGTGTTGGCAGAAGAAAGGTGTATTAACCCTATGGACGCCATGGGTATCTGCTTAAATAAGCATAAATTGATGTATAAAGTATTAGCACCTGTATTATAACCCCCATATAAATTCTTATGGACTTATGGAGTCTCTGGACGCATTTATGTGTCCGTTGTTGGTTAAGTGTTAATATTAGTGATGACCTTCTTACGATGAGATTGTTTTTGTCTTTTTAACGTAATCATCTTGTCTGTTGATTACAGGGACTCTGTAACTGTTAGTCCTGTGAGAGAAATAAATCCTGTGAGTTAGCGATCTACCTATGTATGTATGTGTACCTATTCTTGAGTTCGATGACATTGTTGGCAAGCTAATTATGCCAACGTACTAATTGTGCTGTTTTGTTGTGTTTATGCATCGTGTTAGTGTTAAAGCCAATGTGGCAATACATTATTATAAGGAGAATGTTGCTAAAAACACTGCACCATATTGAAAATGTAGCCATTATGAACTGTCACATTCCCTAACTAATGGACTAAATGGACTGGATTTTGACTCCACCAAACTATTATGAAACGTGAAATCCGACTACAGCTATACAATGCCCGCACCTCCAGGCCAGCAGTCCCCAGTTGTCTCAGAAAGACATTGGAGCCGTCACGTCGTCGACTGGAGAGGTGGGAGGAGGAGGAGGTGGAGAAGAAGGGCCAGAGAAAGAGAACGAAGCCCAAGAAGCCTGCAGTCGTGAGCGTGGGTGGAACGGACGTCCCCCTGAGGGAAAAGATCCTCAAGAAATCAGTTTCCAACCAGTCGACCGACGGCAAGACTCAGGGACTCTCCATGTTTGATACAGAGCTAAGGTGAGGCCATTTATACAGAGAAACGATGGAATTGTAAAGAGGCACAAACATTTTAGGATCAACACATGAGTGGCCTATCATAATTGAACCGACCCAGTATATATAGTTGGAAATGTGCCCCATAAACAAGTATAAAACCATTCTTGCTCAAGTATTGACAACAGAGCTAAGGTGAGGTCATTTATACGGGGAAACGATTGATAATGGAACTGTAAAGAGGCACAAAAAGTTTAGGAACAACACATGAGTGATTGGATGATTCAAGGGGTCAAGTATGTGCGGAGGTGAATCTGTTTCCATCGTAATTAAACCGACCCAGAATAGTTGGAAATAAACAAGTATATAACCATTCTTGCTCAATTATTGGGTGTGGTCTGACCGATAAGAACGTACACTCTTGATCGTGAGATCCTCGTGGACATCGGTTTGATCCCTGTCTGTGTCACAATAGCAATGCGTCAATCTGGGAAATATGCGCAGCGAGGTCGCAGTCTAACTACAAGATGTCGGCAGCACTAGCTAGCAGTGAAGGTCGCAGTACTAGACTAGCAAGAGAGTAAATCGAGAGTTACAATCGACAATGTATAAGCCCAGCCCATCAATTAGCAGTACTGCACATGTGTGTGGGTTTTATGCATTTTTAGTGCTTTTAGTACTACTATTGTGTGTTGTGTGGTTACGCTATACAACTGAGCCTTACTCTACCAGCAGCGGTCTTCGTGGATGAACCAACAGAAGGAAGAGTGCGACGTGTGCAAGAAGACGGTGTATGCCATGGAGAGATTGGAGGCCGATAAGCTCGTCTACCACAAGACTTGCTTCAAGTGCAGCGTCTGCAACAAGACACTTGGGTGAGATATTATTCATTCCAAAGCGAGGCAAATACACGTGTTGTATGCATACGAATGTTTTTTGCTTCGCAATAATGTGATTTGCAGTGATGGTCCATGAAATCTGCCCATTTTTTTATGCCTGTTTCTGCCTCTTGTGCTTTTATCATTCTCTCACACCCTCTCTTGTTCTCATACACACCCTCTCTTCGCTCCCTCCTCTCTCTCTCCTCCCTCTCTCCCTCCCTCCCTCCCTCCCCCCTCCCCAGTGTTGGCACATACGCTGCGCTGCACGGCGTCATCTACTGCAAAGTCCACTTCAAACAACTCTTCAAGATAAAGGGAAACTACGACGAAGGCTTCGGTCGCGAGCAGCACAAGACTAAGTGGGTTAAGAAGGAGGACTAGTAAACTAGCATCACTAGCACTATTCTCTGACTGTCGTTTTTTCCACTGATGTGTGTGTTATAATGTATTCCTCACTCGCTGTACAATGCATATTTATTTTGACTGCACCACTACGTAGTAGTAGGAACTTGTCTCTATTACCCTCGGCGCGCATGCGCAGCAAGGGTACGGTAGCTGTCTAGTTGGGGTCGTGTATAATTATAGTGTGTGTGTGTGTGATCTCACTTCTCTCGAGTGTTCGTTAGGGTACGACCTACTTAACGGGCAATGAAGGTCAGAAATTTCGAACGGTTTTCTCTGAAAATGCTCCGTTGCAAAGCTAGAGCGCTTCCAGCATTGTATGGCTATATAATGCGTAGTCGGCCATTTTTATCGCTGCGGAAAATGCGCATGCGGTTTTATTATGCTAATTCGACCGGGCCTCCATCATAATTATTATAATACTCATGTGAACCAGCAGGTTCGTTAGCATTCGGGAATTAAAACCACTTATGGTATGAAATCCTCTCGGAGCTTTGCTTGTGATTTGGCCAAACCGACTCAGAGGGTTCAGTGGTGTGAAATTCACCTCCACATCTCTTAGTCCACACTCCCTCATAACCGATGCAACGGAATCGTGTGTCAAGCTGATGTAGGAGTGAACTCTGTCGCCAACTGGATAATTCAAATCAAGTGTGTCAGTCGCAGCATCGGTTGCGTAATCAAACAGCAGTCCTCCTGGCTTTAGATGGTGCATCAGTCTCTTCATGCAACGCTTGAAACTCTCTCTATCGCTGCAGGCACATTCAAGACATGCGCACTGTAGAATAATGTCGTATGGTCCCTCATTGCCTTTCTCCATGGGTGTTCCGAGAGAGCGTCACAGAAAACGACTTTTGAGAGCTTTCTCATTCGCTGCTCTCTCTCCCTGGCCTCCTTCTCGCCCTTTCCCTCGAGAGTCTGGACGACGTAGTCGAAATGAGGCGACCAGTTGAAGGCGTCGGCGTCACCGTCCAGCCATTTCTGAATGGCCTCGCGATTGGAGGAGGAAATGTCGCTGAACACGATCTCGGAGGCGAACGCAGCAGCGCTGATGGAATTCTGGACAACTGGTCCACTCCCGAAATCAAGGACTTTTAGTTCGCCATCATTTATTTTCTTTGTCATAAAACCGTTCAATACTCTGTGGAGCTGTCCAAGGACGTAGGTGGCTCTTTGATCGTTTAGGTCTCCAAATCTGTGCTGTAAGTAGTCGAGAGCGTCGAAAGAATCGCGATCAGACATTGTCTCGCGGAGCCACGCCTTCTTTCTCAATCGCGCGCGATGGCGGAAATATAGCTGCGCATGCGCCCAACGAGACTTGTCTTAGTACTATGTTATAGCTAAGTGTAGGCAAGAATCCGGCACAGTTTGCAGCAAGCCAGTTTTTTTTCTTTCTCGAAAAGCTTACAGCATTGCAACGGCTACGCTTGGTCCCGTCGCAATTTTTATAGCTAAACTCCGCGAGTCTGTGCTGGTTTTTCTCCTCTAACATGATTATTGGAGAGATAATGCTGGCTAATCTCGTTCTGTTGACTGTAGTTGCTTTCTCTACCAGAGGTGAGTGCATTACCACTGCCGGAGTTAGTTTATAGCTTCAGCTACTTATGTTTTCACTTTGGTTCAGCCTCAGAAGAGAAATACCAGGTAAATGTACAGGTACCGTTGTCTGGAAATGATGGCTACCACATCAGAGTTCCCGAGGGAGAGGTTTTGACTGTGTGTGTAGTTAGGTCTATAACAACTGCAAGACTGATGGTAGCAGTTAAAGGTGAAACTAATCCTGCAAAAAGTTCAGCAATTGGTAAGAATATCATCTCTTTATAAACCTTTTATAAAATGTCTTGTCACCTTTACATAGGTGGGATAGATTACTCCCCTACTGAAATATCTCTGGTGTTTGAAAAGTCTTTAGAAAACCAAACAAAGTGTGGAGAATTCTCAATCATACAAGACGGCCTGAATGAAGTACAGGAGACGTTTATCCTTAGTTTATCACAGGATAATGGAGTAAATTATTCAAACAATATTTCAGTTGATATTGTTGCCTGCCAACGGGGTGGTAAGTGCTGAATATCACAAAGATAATCACATGTTATGTTCTCATTCAGATATCATTCTCAGTGAGAGCACAAGAGAGTCCTTTTCTATTGTGGAATATTGTAAGGATTTCATGGGGTGGGTGATACTATGTGATGAAGGTAATGAGTGGACATTAGAAGATGCAACTGTGGTATGCAGACAGGCTGGGAGATTAGGTAAGTTTGAAATGTAAACCATAGAACTCTCTTTTGTTAGCATACACATTAGGTGATAAAGTTAAACCTCATGAGTTAGGAAATAAAATCCTGAATGCCAGAGGGACAGTTCCACAGTGCTATGGAAATGAAAGTCACATTGATGATTGTAATAACATCACCACTACCGAGTGCAGCCCGGTGCTAGTTGATTGTGGCACCATGGCCTCGAGTGGTGACAACAGACACAGTGGCAATAATGTGATACTATACATAGTGGCTGTAACAGTCTCTCTCCTGTTAGTGGCTCTGGCTGTTGTTTGTGCCGTAATCATCAGAGTTTGGAAAAAAGGCCCTCTCTTCAGGTAAACTATGTCGGGACCTTTGTCAAAACAGGCCATTGTAGCTATTCCCATTAGCTTTCAGTCCAGTCTTTGGAAGCTAAGTAGGTGCATTGCACATTTCATGTATACTCAGTAGAGCCTTTGATGTGCCTGCCGGCTAATAATGGAGCTGTCATAAGCTCAACTTATTTTTTTCTGCTATAGAAATCGTTCAACAGCAGCTAGGGATGCTAGTTGTCAACACAGTTCATACGATCGTCAGTGTGTCGACCTGAAAGAAACTGAAGTGCCAAACACAAATTATGTTACAGTTGATCATCATTCTGATCCTTGACTTATTAATAATTATTAGCAATTGCAGTTTTGGTGTGGTACAAGTGCCTGCAAACTCGCATGTCGCGCATGCGCAAACTCGCGTGTTTATCTGCATGGTGCTTTACCGCAGACGCGCAGATGCCCAAGGCGGGAGAATATCCAAAAATCGGTAATATCTGCGCTTCTCAGTTCGCGTAGCTAATACCTGTCGTCAGTAGTGAAGTTTCCAGTAGGCGAGCTCAGCCGGGCACGAGGACGGTGGATTTATGAGGAGTTCGTAACTTTGACCGTTTAGTATCGTGCTACTGAAGTCCAAAGAGAGCTAATGGAAAAGGCAGCACTGCTTAGCGTGGTGCTGTGGACGGCAGTTATTATCTCTACTGGAGGTAAGTCCAACGACGTCGTGCTTTGGCCGGGGCAAACTTATAGCGATGGTGAAAAAAGATGGCAAATGAAAGTGCTATTTTTCTTCCCTCTTCAGCCTCAGAAGGGAAATACCAGGGAAATGTGCTGATACCTTCATCAGAGAGCAGTGGACCCCACATGAGAGTCCCTGAGGGAGAGGTTTTGACTGTGTGTGTAGTTACCCTCGGCGCGCATGCGCAGCGAGGGTACTGTAGTTGGATTTGTCGTCTGTCTGTTACTCTCAATCTCACTTCTCGAATGTGTCTGTTCGTCCCAGAAACGATACCATCTACCCAACGGGCGACGAAGGTCAGAAAATAAAGGCGGTTTTCTTTGAAAATGCTCCGTTGCAAAGCTAGAGCGTTTCCGGCATTCTGCGGCTAATGCGTAGTCGGGCATTTTTATCGCTGCGGAAAACGTGCATGCGCTTATATACCTCGACCGAGTCCGCTTGCTCTGTGTATCTTTAAGGCACAAGAAGTCACAACGAAGGGCGTGTATCTACTACTGTAGCTAGCTAGGCCGTGTCAGACTCTCTGCGAGCTACTAGCGGGAGACCACGAGTAAACGCATACTAATAGCAGCCCAGCCCATCAATTAGCGGTACCGCGCATTCCCAGTTCGCCGAGGGTTTGCACTTTAGTGCTTTTCATTAGGTCTATAACAACTGCAAGACTGCTGGTAGCAGTAAAAGGTGAAACTAATCCTGCAAAAAATTCAGCAATTGGTAAGAATCGTCTTTTTATCAACCTTTTATAAAATGTCTTGTCGCCTTTACATAGGTGGGATAGATCACTCCCCAACTGAAATATCTCTGGTGTTTGAAAAGTCTTTAGAGAACCAAACAAAGTGTGGAGAATTCTCAATCGTACAAGACGGCCTGAATGAAGTACAGGAGACGTTTAACCTTACGTTATCACAGGATAATGAAGTAGATTATTCAAACAATGATGGAGTAAACATTCCAAACAATATTATTACAGTTGATATTGTTGCCTGCCAACGGGGTGGTAAGTGCTGAAAGTTATCGCAAGAGATATCACACTATTATGTTCTCATTCAGATATCATTCTCAGTGAGAGCACAAGAAAGTCCTTTTCTATTGTGGAATATTGTAAAGATTTCGAGCAGTGGGTGATACTATGTGATGAAGGTAATGAGTGGACGTTGAATGATGCAACTGTGGTATGCAGACAGGCTGGGAGATTAGGTAAGTTTGAAATGTGAAGTATACAGTCTTTTACATTGTTATGATTGCAGGTGATGACGTTAGCATCCATCAGTCGGGATATAAAATCATGAATGCCAGAGGAACAGTTCCACAGTGCTATGGAAATGAAAGTCACATTGATGATTGTAATAACATCGCCACTACTGAGTGCAGCACGGTGCTAGTTGATTGTGGCACCATGGCCTCATGTGGTGACAACAGCAACAACAGTGGCAATAATGTGATACTATACATATAGTGGCTATAACGGTGTTAGTGGCTCAGGCTGTTGTTTGTGCCATAATTCTCAGATTTTGGAAAAAACGCCCTCTCTTCAGGTAAACTATGTCGGGACCTTTGTCAAAACAGACAATTGTAGCTATTCCCATTAGCTTTCAGTCCAGTCTTTGGGAGCTAAGTAGGTGCACTCCACATGTCATGTATACTCAGTGGAGCCTTTGATGTGCCTGCCGGCTAATAATAGCTGTTATAAGCTCAACTTTTCCCCCCGCTATAGAAATCGTTCAACAGCAGCTAGGGATGCTAGTTGTCAACCACACAATCGTCAGTGTGTCGACCTGAAAGAAACTGAAGTCCCAAACACAACTTACGTTACAGTTGATCATCATTCTGATCCTTGACTTATTAATTAGCAATTGCAGTTTTAGTGTGTATACAGTGGTACACTTGTTCCTGCAAACTCGCATGTCGCGCATGCGCAAACTCGCGTGTTTATCTATCTGCATTGCTTTACCGATGGGAGTTCAGACGCGCAGATGCCATAGGCGGGAGGAAGTTCAAAAAATCGGGAATATCTGCGCGTCTCAGTTGGTAGCTAATAGCTATAACCCTGTCACCAGTAGTGAAGTTGGCAGTAGGCGAGCTCAGCTGTGCACGAGGACGGTGGATTTATCTGGAGTTCGTAACTTCGACCGTTTAGTATCGTGCTACCGAAGTCAAAAGAGAGCTAATGGAAAAGGCAGCACTGCTTAGCGTGGTGCTATGGACGGCAGTTATTATCTCCATCCGAGGTAAGTCCAACGTCATGGGCAAACTTAGCAGCTATGGTGAAAAAAGATGGCCAATGAAAGTTTCTTCCCTCTTCAGCCTCAGAAGAGAAATACCAGGTAAATGTGCTGATACCTTCATCAGAGAGCAGTGGACCCCACATCAGAGTTCCCAGAGGGAGAGGTTTTGACTGTGTGTGTAGTTAGGTCTATAACAACTGCAAGACTGCTGGTAACAGTAAAAGTGATACTGATCCTGCAAAAAAATTCAGCAACTGGTAAGAATCGTCTCTTTATCAACCTTTTATAAAATGTTTTGTTGCCTTTACATAGGTGGGATAGATTACTCCCCAACTGAAATATCTCTGGTGTTTGAAAAGTCTTTAGAGAACCAAACAAAGTGTGGAGAATTCTCAATCATACAAGACGGCCTGAATGAAGTACAGGAGGCGTTTATCCTTACTTTATCACAGGATAATGGAGTAGATTATCAAAACAGCATTGCAGTTGATATTGTTGCCTGTCAACAGGGTGGTAAGTGCTGAAATTGCCAAAATCATCGCAACAGATATCACACTATTATTTTCTCATTCAGATATCATTCTCACTGAGAGCACAAGAGAGTCCTTTTCTTTTGTGGAATATTGTAAAGATTTCAAGGAGTGGGTGATACTATGTGATGAAGGTAATAATAAATGGACATTGGAAGATGCAATTGTGGTATGCAGACAGGCTGGGAGATTAGGTAAGTTTGAAATGTAAACTGTAGAACTCTCTTTTGTTAGTATACACATTAGGTGATGAAGTTAACCCTCATGGGTTAGGAAATAAAATCCTGAATGCAAGAGGAACAGTTCCACAGTGCTATGGAAATGAGAGTCACATTGATGATTGTAATAGCAGCAATACTACTGAGTGCTGCCCGGTACTAGTTGATTGTGGTCCAGTCTCGGGTGGTGACGACAGCAGTGGTTCTGCTGGCGTGATAGCAGCTGCTGTGACCGTTCCTCTACTGGTAGTCCTGGCTGTTGTGTGTACTGCAGCTATCACTCTGTTCTTGCTTTGGAAAAACGGGAAACTCCGCTGGGACTTACTCAAACTGCCACACAGGAGAAAGTAAATTGTATACAGTATAATCATTGCATGTGTAAACCATAACTGTTACTGTTTTCTCAATGGTTTACAGTTGTAGTTATGAGGTTTCACTTTCCTTGTTTGGCGATACCAACTTTCTATTGATACATACTGAGTGTATGTGGCCCACTTAGCGCATAATAGCTACTAGCAAACTGTAGTAATAGCAGTTTGTTAAGAGTTGTTATCTTATACCTCCATTATTGATGCATATGCAGTGATGACTTTTATATTCCAGAAACCACTCGGGGAGAAGGCCGCATGCTATGAACAGCCAGCTACACAGCAGCTCTAACATGAGCCACAGTTTGTCCGAGCCAGAGGCTGAATACACTGCTCCGTTCACAGGGCCAAGTTTTGGTTTCCCCCCCACACCAGTCACCCCCACCAAACAGCCGTCCAGCAGGCAGCAGTCTGTGGTCGAAGAGCCGCACTATGAGGGCTGCGACATCACGTCGCAAACGAAGAAGCCCCTGGCCAAACGGCCAATCAAGAATCAGCTCAACGTCCCGCAAATGCCGTTAAAGCTTGAGAAGGGTCAAGAAGACTATTCCCACCTGCAGCATTAACAGCTCCTTACCTAATGCGAGTGCACACACACCTATAGTGTTGGAATTATACCGAACACCGTACAATACCTTCCCACAGTTACTTTTATGCAGATTTTAGCTATTGTTACGAAAACTCAATCCTCGTTTGAGAATGTTGTTGTGAAAAGTTTCATGGTAGTTTTGTATACACGACCTTCGTTTCCTAAAACAGCCAGATTGCTCAAACAGACGTAGATTTACTTACATAGCTAAATGCGCAAGTGCGCAATTCCCTTCTGGTATACTGCATGGACACTGGGGAAAACAGATTGTCTAAAAATATGACATAATTGTGTAACAGGTTTTATCTTGGTAGCTAGATTGCTCAAACAGACGTAGATTTACTTACATAGCTAAATGCGCAAGTGCACAATTCCCTTCTGGTATACTGGATGGACACTGGGGAAAACAGATTGTCTAAAAATATGACATAATTGTGTAACAGGTTTTATCTTGGTAGCTAGATTGCTCAAACAGACGTAGATTTACTTACATAGATAGCTACATAGCTAAATGCGCAAGTGCGCAATTCCCTTCTGGTATACTGGATGGACACTGGGGAAAACAGATTGTGACATAATTGTGTAACAGGTTTTATCTTGGTAGCTAGCTATAAAGCCCATTCCGTAGCAGAAGTATAATATACAAGCAATAGCTAATTTATACCACTCAGACATACCTACCAACCATCCAGCTTTTTGCTTGATAATCAAGCAGAAATGCTGCCTATCCCACCAGTAAATTGCTCTTTTGTGTGTGTGTGTGTGTGGGGGTGGTTGAATGCATCTGCACACATCCATGATGAGCAAGGACTGCGGTAAGATACTGGAGGCCAACTGCATGTGTCTCAAACCACAATGCATGCTTCATGCAAGAGAGCAGCCCAATTCCCCTCTCTTGTTACGCCTTCATGAGCAGGGGGGGCATTTGAAACAGCCTCTTCTCATTTCCTTTCCTCTTTTACCAACATCCAACATTTGCATAACTCCCATAAATTCCCCCTCCAGAGAATTACCCTTCTAGACAAGATAGGGTGACCAATCATTCATCACAGATCTCACTAAAAGAACCCCCAATCCCCTTAGAATGTATGTGTATTGTATAAAACATGTGTTCCTTGCTGTGGAATCGTTGGGAGGTTGGAGCCATGACGCAGCCCTACAAATCTCCAGAATCGGCAGACTAGTGGGTCAGAGGCTTGGTATATACCTCCCCCGTGGAAGCAGTTTCACATTTATTCCAGCGCTTGTGTATAATATTGAGCCCAACTTGAGCCATTTTCTACAATCTGCAGTACTAACAAATAATATATAGAGTGAAGGACAGTAAGCAGCTACTTGACGTACAAGTCAACCAGTTCCACTGCTATGTTGTCATATTGTATGTCATTCCATAAACATATTCTCAGCTCAAGGTCATCACTAGTTGTCTGGTTGA